GTTGAAACCCTCGTGGAAGAAGACACCGCCTATCCACCGACGCAGCGCGTCCTCGTAGCGGCCTTGGGCCATAAGCTGCAGTCCTTGAAGCCAAACAAGAGAAACTGGTAGAGCAAGAGCCGTAGAAGATGCTGATGAGGAAGGACACGAATTAGAGCGTTGGAGGGCGGCCAGCCACCTCTCAAGCCCTTGCAGCATTTCCACACCGCTTTCCTTAAAGTGCTCAGTCACCGCGACCGCCACCTCCACTGCGAGCTCCTCCACGTCCTGGAATGAGACGGGCGAGACCGAGAGAGGTACGGAAGGAGAGGGGACCGTGATAGAAGAAGACTTTGGGCCCCTCTGCTTCGCAACGGATGCAAGATCTACCAGCCGCTTGAAGGCATACTCGACGCCTTGCTCCTGGCAACCCTCCAAAGAGAGAGACACACGTACGAGCATGGGCCGCACGCGCGCCAGCCAGTCCCAGCACACGTGCTTGTTTGCCAAGAAAAAGGCCTCCGTCTTTTTGGAAGGCGGGGGAAGGGCGATGCGGACAGAGGGGTACTCGCACTGTCCCCCCGGCTGTGTTCGCTCCGCGCCCCCGACGAGCTTCGCTTCCTGGACCTGACATGGGACATCTCGTGCGCAATTTCCGTACCGCTCTGACGCTTGTGAGCCTTCCCCATCTCCTCTGTCTATTTCTATATTCGTGACGTGACCTTGCATTTTCCGGGCCAAATACTGGCTCCCGACATCTCTGCCTTCAGAGCCCTCCACGACATTGGCGATGTGCCGCTCAAAGGCCCCTAAAAATGTCACCAGTAAGTCCGCTCGACGCAATAGCGCTCCATCCTTCTTCTTGTCCTGCATCAATTCTATTTGAATCTTGGCCATTGCTCGTTCCAGAGTCGCAAACGTGGCCCCCGGGCCCCCAACGTGCGTCTTGAGACGCCCCCACACCAGCAGCCGCGCCAGCTCCCATACAGCCCACAGAGCGGGAGAGCGGAGGCTCCGGCCGGCCTCCGCTCGAAGACGGCGGGCAGCCCGAATCATAGGATGCTCTGGTCGTTGCACTTGCTTCGAGAGCGACGACGGACTTGGAAATTTGCCCCAGATGGCGACATTGTCCCCCCTCCAGGAGCTTTTCAGCACTCCGTCATCCGCTTGTCCCAGGCAGGTCTCAAGCAAGCTCACAGCTAAAGAGTGCGAGGCCTCCCCAGCTGCGGTGTCAGCAAACGAGGGGATTCGAAGAACACCGGTCATGGCATCCAGGCAGAGTGAACGCAGCCACTGGAAAAAGGGCTCGTCATCCGCCGGATCCCCACCACCTTCTCCTCCTTTCCCTGAGCCCGCCATCCCCACCTTTGCCACTCCTGTATCGCCACCGCCTCTTTTTTGAGCACGCGAGAGAGCTTCGCTCGAAGCTGATCTTGTCTGTCTGGCGCGCTGTGCCCTTCCTTGCTCCCTTCCTTGAGCAACTTCGCTGTCAGCCTCCGGATGCTCCCCTCCGACACCAATCAGGTAGTCAAATAGCCGCCGCACGAATTCAGGTGTACGTTGGAAAGGGCTGCAGGCAGACGCGACCGGCTCGACTTGCAGCAAGAGCACGTCCCCTATGGCCTCAGACCCGCAGGAGGGAGCATATTGAAGGCAGTGGTCGTCCACCAAGAGCCGGAAAAGCGCGAGCGTCTGCAAGGCCCGCGGACGATTGGCAGGAATGGGATCGCGTAGGGCATGAACAAGGAGCGTGCGAGCTTCCTGAAGTAGGAGAAGAGTCGACTGGGCTTCGTAGTGGTCGCTGTCAGAGGAAGAGGAGGAAGAGGGTGAGTGTGCAAGAGTGTGGGCAGGCGGGGGCAGGAGGCGGAGGATTTTTCCGATCAAGGAGAGAGCGAGTCCGCGGTGCTTCCCCAGGGCGACGCCAACCTCGTCGGACCCTTCGAGTTCTTCATCCACCAGAGGGGTAAAGTCTGCGAAGGGGGAGGAGCGGGCGAGCATGCCAAGGGCGCCTTGAAGCAGCCGGGTCGCGACAGCGCGTGAGAGGCAGGTGCCAGAAAAGGGCCCCGAGCCGGGGCACGAGGCGGCTTTCAGAAGATCCCCCAGGGCCAAATCGATAGCCCGCAAGACGCGAGTGGCCGGAGAAGTGCCCGCCGCGGGAGAAGACGGAGAGCGAAGGGACGCCAGGGCCGCCGGGACCGCCTGTTCCAGAAGATGCGGCAACAAGGCAACCGTCCGCGATGAAGGGAGGGTCCGGAGCAAGCGTGATGCCAAGTCCATCGCGGCAGCCTGCAAGGCCGGGGAGGGGGCAGGAAGAGACCTCGATGCCTGATCGTGGACAGGAGGGTCAGGGCCCGAGGGCAGGAATCCCAGGGCCTGCAACGCCCGGCAACCGGCCGCTTCCGCCCGCGCCTGTGCCTTGGCCAAGGGCCTTCCGCCTCTCCCTTCCCTCAACCCTTTCCTCGATACGCCGCGGGCACGCCACCGCCACAGCCGCGCTCAAAGCGCTCAAGTTCAGGAGAAGAACCTCCTCCCCGTGCCCCTTCGGCTGGCCATGACACCGCCCTCCCTCCACTTCCGAGGCCAGCCAAGCGTACAGGTCGAAGACTCCGGAGTCCCCTTGCCCACAGGGCTCTTCGTCTTCTCCGGATCCCCGCAGCGCCAGCTCACCAAGAGTGCGCGCCCACAGCGTCTGTGAGACAGACGGTGCCACAGGTGTGAGGGGCAGGGGGAGAGAGGGAGACTCGAACGCCAGCTTCTCCCTCCAAAGAGTCAAGGAGGAGGACATGAGGGGGGCGGGGAGGAGACCTCTCTGGGGCGGAGGAGGCGACAGCGCCCGTGTCGGATGCTCCAAGCCCAGAACGGTTCGCAACGTGCTGCCATCCAACCGCATCATATGCGACAAGGCAGGGCCAGGCGCTGAGAGGGAGGGGCCAAGGCCGGGAGAGGGTAGGAGACGCGTGAGGAGGTACAGGTGTGCCTTGAGCCCGCTCTCGATCCAGTGGGGGGGCCACGACCCGCCTGTCCCGCCGCCCCCAAGGCAAATGTGGGCGCCGCACCGGTACACGTCAAGGAGGAAGCAGGCAGCGTCCGGGGAAGAGGCCGCGTCGTGGGCGGAGGGAGCAGGAGCGCCAGAGAGGGGAGAGAGGGCTTCAGCCAGCTTGATCACGCAGTGCATCAAGAATATCGGGCCGTTCCCCTCGTCATGGACAGCGTGAGAGGAGGAGAGTGTGGTCGAGGACGGAGTCCGGCGCAGGGCGGCAGGCAGGACCGAGACGCAGAGGGCACGGAGGAAGCCGAGCACCAGGCCGCCCGGGTGCAAGGGCGAGGGGTGGAGGGCCTCCCCTCCCGAGGCGCTGACCTGCCTTTGCGACTCGCTCAGCCCCGTGGCCCCCTGGAAAGCCGCCCCCGCGGGCAAGCAGCCCACCAACAGGCCGAACAAGCGCACCAGCCTTCGCACGCGCCCGCCCCCCCCCGCCTGTTCGATGTCCGCCCGGGCCCCCCCCCCCCCGGAACGGCCGACCCCTCGGACCCCAGGTCTTGCAACTCCTCCAAGATGTCCTGGAGGAGGGATCTGGCCAAGGGCAGGTGTCGGCCCCAGAGCGAGAGGTCGCCACTACCCACGCCCCAGGCCTGAAGGGCCTCCTCCACGGCCATGCAGGCCCCCACCGCCTCCCCCGCGGCTTCTCGCGCCCAGACCAGCAATGCCTTGACAACTTCCGCGAAGCGAGCGTCCAAGGCCGCTGAAAGGCCGGGATGGGCCGAGTCCCCGAGCCGCCGGAGCACAGGGACGACGACGCCCACCAAGTCGAATCCCAGCGACGTTGCCTCACCCGCCGGGCGCACCAGGCGGACACAGGTGTCGACCAGAGCCCGGGCGCCCTCGGCTGCCGCTCCGGTCTTCCTTGCATCGCGCTCCGTCTTTGCGCGCTGAGCTCGCGATTCAATCATTTCGAGGGCGCGATCCAGGCAGATCCCCACGGCCCTTGAGTCCAACTCGCTCTCCGCTTGCTCCAAGACTCCCCGCAATTGCAAGGGCCACCTTCCCGCTCGTCGCCCTTCTTGCTCATTCGCGTGTTCCTGTTGCGGGTGCTCTCTCTTTTCCTCTCGCAGAAGCTGCCTGTCTTCCTGTCGTGAGCGCTGTCGACCGGAGTGAGACGAGGGGCGCCGCGTCGCGCCGGCCAGAGAGGACGCCTCCGGGGCCGGTCTGGGTGACCCATGTCGGTCCCGATGCCGGTTGTCACTGCGGCGGTCGGAGGACGCGGTCCGCGACTTTGCCGCAGAGGGTGCAACAAGGTTGCCAGAGGCTGGATCGTAGAGCAGTTGCGGGGCTGTGGAGGGGGGCGTGGAGTCCTCTTTCTCCCGGGGGGGGCGACGAGACGGCAAGCGCGGCATTAGCAATGCTGGCTACCTGTCTCTTTCCAAGCGAAACAGGCTCAAAAACTGGCGGAAGCCACATAGTAACTTTGAAAGCGCCAAATCCATCTCAAGAAGCCTCAATGAGAATGACTGGATACAAAAGAGGACGCAGGATGTGATAATTCTAGCGTGGTAGGCCGCGAGGTAGAGGCACTACAATGCTTTTCTTTTTGAGGCCGGCAAGCCTTCAGAAATGATGCAGGTCTGCGCAACATCCTTGGGGTAAGCCGCAATGTCTTGCACGTAGAGTAATGGCTGTGAATAACGAAGACGGATTACCCACGAAATTATTCGGAGTATACAGGCAAGCACCCCTTTGTGAGCCGTAGACGTGCACAAGCCCCCCGCGAAGCTGAACAGTCTTTGAGAGCTACAAGCGCTCAAATCAATAACGCAAAGTCACGAACTCCACCTGCATGCGTGAGACCGGGCCACACGGTGCATCGGTGACTCATGCGTAAAGGAATTGGCATTCGACACGCGCGGCCAAGGTGATGATTTCACGGCGAGCGGGGCGACGACTCGTCGGAGAGGCGACCCCGCTCCTCCACAATTCTTGTCAAGACACACGAGCAAGCTTACACGTGCCCATGCTCATCATCCGTACAGGGAGCTATGAAGGGGGGGGGCGAGCACCAATGGCGAAGTGCAGAAAGAGGAAGATAGGCTGCAGGCAATTGTTTTGGCAGGTACGCGTGTGGGATCCGGTTGGAGAGGGTTTCCTCGCGACTGCCTACTAACTAGCATGCTATGCTACCGAACAGATTCCTTCACTGGAAGCTTCCGGCCGTGCTCGCTCGATAAACCGAAAGTCCTCTTGCCTCTCTTAAATGTACCCATGCTCGACTACGTGATGGAATTTCTCGTAGCGGCCGGAGTGCAGGTATAGTAGGGGGAAGGGGAGGAGTTAGAAGGAGTCGGGGAGCCAAGAATCCTACATGAATTTGCGTCTTTGTGTCTTTTCGAGTGAGTCATTGAAAAAATGTGTGCTGCTTATCTCAGAGGCTCTGGAAAATCTGACAAAAACTTCAAAATCGATGCGCTGAGTCCATTCTTCTTCACGACGGCCCCTCGTCTTCAGGAAGTTTTTATATTCTGTGTCAACAAAAAGGAGGATGTGCAAGACTACATATGCCGATCGAAGTGGCCCTCTGTAGTTGGTCTCCGCTGCATCTCTTCAGCCAAATGCATGGGCACGGGGGACGCGCTACGGGAGATGGACACCCTAGGCCTGGTCCGCTCCAACCCCTTCGTCCTCATCAGTGGCGACGTGGTCGCGACCGTGGACTTGGCGGGCGTGGTGGCCGCGCACAAGCGGCGTAGGGCTGAGAACAGCCTCTCCATCTGCACCGTGGTGCTGTCTAAGGTGGGGTACGACGCGGCCGTGCACGCTCGGCGGGAGGACCTGGCCGTGGGACTGGACGCTGAGACCGCTCAGCTTGTGCTGTACCAGGACGACGAGGGCGAGGAGAGCGGGGTGGACGTGGAGCTGGACCTCTTCAAAGAGGAAGGACATCCGGAGATCGTGCTCCGGAGCGACCTGATGGACTGCCATATCTACGTCTGCTCGCCCGAGGTCCTGGTCGCCTTCTCGGACAACTGGGACTATCAGGACATGGGCCGCTTTCTCCGCCACGAGGTGGAGAGCCGAGAGATGGGTAATAAGGTCTACTCACACGTGACGCTCCCGCACGAGTATGCGGCGCGAGTGCACGACCCCCACGTCTACCACGCTGTCTCCAAGGACCTCCTCCACCGGTGGTTGTACCCGAGCGTGCCTGAGACCAACCGCTTCCATGCCGGCGAGCCCACCTCCTATCAGTACCACAAGCGCTGGCTTTATCGTGAGGAGGAAGACGCTGGTGGGGCGAGCGTGCATGTCTCTCGTTTTGCCACGGTCAGTGAAAGCGTCATGCTCGGGCGAGGCACCAGCATTGGGGCGGGCTCGGTGCTCTCTCAGAGCGTCTTAGGCCGGCGTGTCAAGGTAGGGTCCGGCGTGCACATCTCGGACTCACATCTCTGGCAGGACGTGGTGGTGGAGGACGGCGCAGTCGTGGAGAGCAGCATATTGAGCGACGGCGTGGTGGTGAGGGCGGGCGCACGCGTGGGACGGGGCTCGCTGCTGTCCTACGGGGTAGTGGTGGGCAAGGGAGTGGAGTTGCCGCCATTCTCGCGTCTCACAGCGACGCCTGTGAGCTCCTGGGAGGAAGAAGGTGGCGTAGAGAGGGACGGTGTGATGGGCACGGCTTTATCGGTCTTGGCCTCCCCCATCAAGCGGATAGAGAGTCGAGACGGACCAGAAGGCCTGTCAACCGAGAGGGGAGGGGAGTCGGACAATGTCACCGACACCGGTTGTGTCGGTGTTGATGGGATTGGGCATCCTTGGAATCCCTGCTTCGATGGCGAGAGAGTCTCAATGCTGGATGTCCGCGCGCAGAGCATCGGGGCCATTGAGGCGGACGAGGATCGCCGGCGGCGGTGGGAAGTCCTGGACGAAGAGGAAGAGGAGGAGGAAGGCATCTATATAGATGAAGACGGGGGGAGACGAGGTCCGGAGTCTGACCTGACGGATTTCTCCTCGGCACTGGCCAGGAGCATGGCAGGAGTAGATTCTGAGCGAGGGACTGCCGGCGCTGTGTATGGGATTCGGCTGGAAGGATCTGCCGGAGAAGCAGATACGAATTGTACGTCTGATGACGACTTTGCAGAGGTGGTGCGGGACATGATTATATCCGGCTTTGCCTCGCGACACGCGATCTCCAACCTATTGCTGGAGATCAAATCTTTTAAATTTGCCCAGAACCGTTCCTATGCAGCCGTGATGCGTGCTGTGGTTCCTGCCTTGCTAGACCTGGCCTTGGACCCTGACGCCGTGTGTCGCCACGCTGAGAAAGACTCCTCCCTTTCACGCCGCACCTCGGGGGCAGGGGAGCAGAATCATGCTCGGGGGCGCGTGTCAGGAGTCGACACGGATCCCTCAGGAGCCCGGGATTCAAATTTAGTCGCCGCTCAGCCCAGGTTGTCCGAGCAGGCGGCCATTTCAAATATTGCTACACAGCTCCAGCACTGGAAACCGCTTTTAGTCGCCTTAAATCAAGAAGACGAAGTGGAAGAGGCTTTGTTGGAGGCTACAGAAGCTTATGCTTTAGAGTCGAAAGGAATAGGAGATCAGGCTGGCGCATCACGCCTTCTGTATGATATTTTTGGACTCGTATTGCTCACGTATGTGAACGAAGGTTTACTATCTCCAGCTATAGCCGTCGCATGGGCAGACGCCTACAATGAGGACGATTCTTTGGACGAGAAGAGTAAGTTGTTCAGAGAAGCACGGACGCAAAAGTTTGTGAAATGGGTGCGGGAATATGAAGTGGATGACAGCACCAGCAGTGACGAAGGAACAAGCGATTCAGAGTGAGCTTGTAACAAATAGAAGAAATTAAACTGGGCACTAGTTGTTGATGAGCCGGAACGGATTTTTGGTTATTTTCCAGAAACGGCTGGCATTCGCAGAAACCGAATCATGGTGAGGTATACCCAGTATGATGTATGAGTGCCTGTGAGTCTAAGGGATAGTGTAGTACGTATGTGAGTACAGTTTGATCTTGAGTATGTGTGAGTATAGGTGTAGTGTGTGTTTATATGTGGTGTGGTTTCGGGTGTGTGAGTCATAATATTCCCACTCATATTTGCTCTCTTTTCATGACTCGTAACCCCAAATGCTGAAATCACTGCCGAACCGAGGCAGAAAGTGTCGAGTTGCTTAGCTCAGCAGCCGAGTTGCTGCGGCTATTCTAATTTTGCGCCCTCACAGGCTATTGCGATCGGATTTTGAGTCCTTAGATTCCCAGCATAAAGAACAACCACTGAGAATATCATCGAGCCTATTTCTTGGAAGAATTTGTATGAGACTCACTGATATTATGCCCCATATGGTTAGCTTGAGGCTCACAGGCGGTATGCCGACCAAGTTATCGAGGAAAATTTGCCCATGGAAGAGAATTTATTTATATATACACGTATGATAGATCTCTTTTTATTGATTGGAGCAATACCTTACTTCCTTCCCTTCCTCCGCCCCACTCTTTCGCTCTATGCTTTCTGGGTTAGGGTTAGGGTTAATTTATTTATATATACACGTATGATAGATCTCTTTTTATTGATTGGAGCAATATCTTACTTCCTTCCCTTCCTCCGCCCCCCTCTTTCGCTCTATGCTTTCTGTGTTAGGATTATTATCGCTATGGGTTGATTGATAGTCACAGATATCCTGCCTAGTGAGCCTCATAGCTTTTGATCGTGCTCTTCTATGGTATTTGAGAGGTACTTCAATATACTGGGCACAAATAAGTCGATAAAATAAGGAACAATGAGTGCGTTGTTTTCCTTCGATGAGGGCTCTTTCAACAGTAAACTAGGCCAGAAGATGAAGATGTCTTCTCACCCACTGTCAGGAATGCTATACACCTCAAACGTCATACTCACGGCTGCTTTCATTTCGTTGTGCTCTGCTCTTTTCATTCGAACAGCACGCGCACAGCGCAGGTAGGTAGAAACCAAGCCCCAGCCACGTATTGAAACGGCCAACTCGTTAACGGTCGTGTGGCTGCTCACGACACGTCGACCGTTTAAAAAATTTGCGCAACGATCATGGGACAGAGCTAAACATTGTTGCCAGTACTGCCTTGTCAGTTCGACAAGAGCAAGAGCAATCTTTGTACGTTCAGCAATTGAAGGTGTAATAAATGAAATGAGAACCCTCAATTCCGTACCCGCATGTTAAGGGATTCTCACGTGTTTATTTTGAAACGGTCGCTTTCCACCGGACGCTTTAAAGCACGGCTTCTACTCGAAAAGTAAAACTGCCGTTAAAATGCTCCCTGACACTTGTGCATGCTTCTCAAGTACTTCTTTTTGCATCTTTCCTTACCCGCAAACATATGTGCACTGCTGATGCCTTCTTTTGTCGCTTGCTTGCCGCATTGTCTGCTAAGGTCAACCCACGAAATGGTAGCAGTAGCACCTTGGTTCGGAATGAGATCAGGCTGGGCTGAACCTCGTGGACGTCAAGAACCCAGCGACTCAAAGATTCTTGACACGTTTTTGTCTGTCATCTATCACACCTAGAAAATCCTAAATTAGTTGAGGATTCTCAATTATGCACCCACATGGGAATGGATTCTCCTTGATTTTCATGTGCCTAAGCTGTCACTTTAAGTTGGGTTTTTGTTTTGAGACGACCACATGGCACGTGCCTACCCTTCGAAGGTTAGGGTTAGGGTTAACGGTATTGCTTGTGGCCATGTTAGACGAGTAAGCGCATGGTAGAAAAGAGCCCAAGTGTACGGGACAAAACTGAACAAGCGCGAGTAGGAATGCTTATATACACACCTCTTATTCCCACCTTTTCTCGTAGTGTTCAATTCCTCGATCCTCTCTATCGCCACCATGCGCCGCATCCTTTCTCTGCTCGCCCTGGGCGTCACGCTCGTCATGACTGCCGGTCAAGAGTTTACCCTGAAGAACGTCAAGGTCGCTGAAAGATCCAAGACAGCGAGGGATCAGTGGAGCATGAAGGGTTAGGGTTAGGGTTAGGGTTAGGGTTAGGGTTAGGGTTAGGGTTAGGGTTAGGGTTAGGGTTAGGGTTAGGGTTAGGGTTAGGGTTAGGGTTAGGGTTAGGGTTAGGGTTAGGGTTAGGGTTAGGGTTAGGGTTAGGGTTAGGGTTAGGGTTAGGGTTAGGGTTAGGGTTAGGGTTAGGGTTAGGGTTAGGGTTAGGGTTAGGGTTAGGGTTAGGGTTAGGGTTAGGGTTAGGGTTAGGGTTAG